TGCCGACGATGCCTATGTTGGCTGAAGCGTAGCGTGGTAAGCCCACGAGGCCGAGATTGAGCAGCTGAGCTGTCATCTTTCTTACATATCGCACTATGTCCGTGTACTTTCTCATTGTGTAAAGTGTACATACCTGTTGCCTTTCTGTTCCCCTCACTCAACTTATTACTTTGGATTTTTTCCTCACGGAGCGCGTGTTTACTGTGTACATAGTAATTTTTTCCCCCTGAATATTCCTTCCTACTGTGTTCATAGTCCGACTGCTTTATATAGTTGAATACATGTTATTGTGCCCGCCACGAGTCGTCTTCCTCCCTTGTTACTACACGACGAGGGCATGTGGTTGCTTGTTGGGTGCTAATTTCAATACGGGTTGCGCTGTTCCAGACGCAAAGAGCGTTGGAAGATTGCAAGGAAACCAAGTTGTGGAGGGGGGAAATACGGCTGTCCCTAGCCGACTGTGGGTCACGCTGATCCGACAGGCCGTCCTTGTGGCAGCGGCGGGATGCCCTTTGGGCATCTTTCCTCGGCCTTGTACGGCGCAAGGGAGGCATGCCTGCGTGTGTCGGCTGCACCCGGTATGCCTGTCGGGTGCTCTTCCTGAGGAAGGGCGTCCTGAGGGTCCCTGTAGGACGGCAGGTGGGTGTATGTCTGGCTGGCAGAGGGGCGTCTGGTATGGACGGCTGGTGGTTGTATTTTTTTTTTGGCATGAGGATCGACCATGGGATGCCTTTCCGGCTTGTTGGGGATACCCGAGGGATGACCACGGGTGGGTTATCCCTGGGCTGCCCGACTGCACCCGCGGTGTACACGTAACGCAACTTAAATCAAGCCTACTTGTATTTAAAAGGTTTAACTTTAAACCACAAACCATCACCCCTTAAACAAGTATTGCAAATAGCAATGACGGAAGAGACATCCATTCTCTTCCTGACCTTGTTTTGCCCCCTTTTCTCACCTCAGTCCTTCTGCTTATATACCTTTCAATGGTTTTTGTCTCAGCTTGTCAGTCTCGCCTTCGTCTTGTTCTCAAAACCAAATATTTATTTGCTAAACATTACCTTTAGCATCTCAAAGACTTAGCCACATATTTTCCTAATTTAGGCTTGAATGCTCTGTGCTTCTCACTCACCACTAATCTTTTTTTTTCTTTTCTTAAATTTTACCTTTACCGTCCCAAAACAACAGCACCCTGCTCTAACCCTGGAGTTGAATTGTTACGCTTTTTATTTCCTGTTCTCATTCTTTGACTATTTCAGTCACACTCTCAATCTTATTTCAAAATTTTACCCTTCCCGTCACGATATCTACCTTTGTGATTCCCTTAATGCGATGATCTTCTTAAACCGTTGATTTATCCCTCATTCACCAAAATTAAGAAACATGATCTTTTTTGTGACATGAAAACTTTTTGACTATTTTGGTGACATCTTTTCTCTTCTCTCTGTATTTTCCACCAAATAAAGAGACATTCCCCAACAATTTTACTTTTACCGTCACCATACTTTGCTCAAGAGTTACTGGACATAGGTGAGGGTTCCACTCAGGTCCACAACACTCAAAGAATTATGCCTAGGAATGTAAGGGTAGATTATCGGCCAAAAGCAATTCTATGTTTCAAATTGGCAATCTTGCTCCTCTTTGCAATCCATCCACCGGATTCAATAAGCTACTTTCTTAGCCTTTGTTTTGCTCTTCCACCATGTTCTCCTCTTGCTCCTCTTTGCAATCCACCCACTTGTGCTTTTTCCGGCTCTTTCCGCTTGCTGCCCGATATGTACAGGAAACTTTAATTGCTTCCAGATATCAAAAACAACAATAGCAAAAAGACAAGTCCAGAAATCACTCGAGAGACAGGCAGTCATGTTCAAAATCTTCCGTCTAATTTCTAAAATCTACCTGTTTGTTTTGGCTGTTTGGAAGCTCAATTTACAGCAGATCAAGAAGCATTCTGAACTGCTCAAACAGGAAAGGAGATTGTCATTACACACTCCCTCCCCATCAGCTGTCGCTTGTTTCTTTTAGCTTGCTCTATGCAGGTCTTGGAACTGATTTTTTTCCCATTACAATCATTCTGTTTGATTCTGAAAACCCCTAGGCGGAAGACTCGTGAAAACTCTATGATCGTTATCTTGACCAATCCTTGTGGCGACTACTCGAACATATCTCGTCCTATTTAAATCTTACACGTACATAGATCAATCCACCAATCATGCACCTCAAACAACAGACGCGGCGCGTTTTCCTCGGGGCCACTCCCAAACACTTCATCTCTCATAACACCAGACCTTCCCAATCTATCCTTACTTGTCAGTTCTCTCGACAGTGTGAAGCGGATACAAGGTATTGAGTAGCTAGGTCGGTTTCAATTTCTTGTATACTTATCCAGCGCTTTCACCCAACTGACAATCCTTCCACTTCCTCCTCAATACTGTGTTTCAAAATCAGGTGGACCCTTCTTAGAATCGGTTTTTCAATCAAGACTGCGGTCCATCTCAATCGACTCCA